GGGAGACAGGAATTGCAGGTAAAATCATAAATTGGTACATGGAAGATATATATTGGTTTGGCCCAAAAAGGTGGGACATCTCAAATTGAGGGCTTATGGTTATAGGTAGGTTTGGAGATTCTTTGATTTGTAATTGGTTAAAGAAATAAAGCTTTGTCTAAAGACTTGGAGTCAGTAGAAAGGAATGCTTGAGTTAAGATAAAGGGGTCTGCTATCTGTCATGTGATGCTATACCAGAGTTAAGTTGTAAGGAAAATGACATTATACCAGGTTAATTTTAAAAATGAATTTAATGAGATTTTATGGTTTATAAAGCCTTACTTAACCTTTGCCTTGCATGGCCTTAGGTCTTGTTTGCAATTTAGTATCTTATTTCCACAAAGAGTCTGTTTTGTCAGTCTTATGATCTCTATTTTAACATTAATGCTGATCAGTTGTAATGTCTAAACTCCAAAGGGGAGGAGGTATGAGGAGGCGTGTCCAGCCTCCCTTTCCTTCATGGCCAAGAACTCAGTTTTAAGGTTTTTCTGGGGTCCCCTTGGCCAAGAAGGACTCTCTTCAATTGCCACGGGGCTTAGGATTTTATTTTTCGAGTGTGTGTGTGTGTGTATATATTTGCTTTCTTTTCTGTCCAAGAATATCTTCCAATTTCTCTGAAATTTATCCATTAGATATTCATTCTCTCTTGTTCTTTCCCTCTCTCTCTTTCTCTTTTTTCTATTTACTTCTTTTGATTTCCGTCTGGTATATTGGAGGCTTTTCTTAAAGGTTAGTGATCCCTGTTCAGGATGTAGGAACTGAGTTTGGCATGTTCTGTCTACCCTCAGGTGGGCCTGGATGCACAGGTTGGGGATGAGATCTGATAGTCTAATTGCTCCTTATAAAACCTCAACTAAGTCTCCTAACTTCATCCCCACACTACACTCTTATTTTCAGAAAAACTTGATGTCTCATTTCTTAAGGCTTCCTGGGGTCTGTGGTGGGAGTCATCTTGGTTCTTATCAAATTCCCTCACCATTTCTTGGGAGTCAGCTCTCTCAGGTCAGCTAAATCAGGTACCATTTGGCCATCTGCTTTCAAGCTTCGATAAAAAATTTTGTTGAAATCTCTCATCCACAATCATTTCTTTTCTCTTTGTCCTTATAGATTTCTGCCTTTTTTAGCCTTTTAGTGTCATTTTAATGGGATTTCATAAGGGAACAAATATAAATATTTGGATTCAAACTGACCTATTTTCCGCTGGACCTTCCAAACCAAGCAATTTCAATACAGCGGACACCTCTTGCTCAGTGTATATTTTTGTGCTAGCATATATAGAATTTACAGATCTTTTTGCCTTTATCACACTTGATTCCAGGATTTCGACAATAAAAGGAAAAGAAACACATTTCACAACTGCCTGGCTTCTTTTTCTTCCATGGTTTCTCACGTGATTTTTTGTTTTTGTTTCTGTTTTTGCTTTTGTTTTGAGACAGGGTCTCGTTCTGTCACCCCAGGCTGGAGTGCGAGCATAGCTCACTGCATCCTTGAATTCCTGGGCTCAGACAACCCTCCTGCCTCAGTCTCCCAAGTAACTGGGACTACAGGTGTATGCCACCACACCTGGCCCCATTCTTCTGTTTTAAATTTAAACTTTTTGAGTTAATTGTAGATTCATAGACAGTTGTAAGAAATAATAAAGATTCTGTATAACCTTTACCCAGTTTTTCTCAATGGTTACATCTTAGGACACTATAGTGCAGCATCACGACCAGGACATTTGACATTGATGTAGTCAAGATACAGAACACTTTCATGGCAAGGATCCCTCATGCTGCCCTTTTGCAGCTACATCGAGTTCCCTTCCACTCCCACTTCCTTCTTAAGCCATGACAACCCACTAATCTGTTCTCTATTTCTATAACTTTATCATTTCAAGAATTTTATATAAATGGAACCATACAATATGTAACCTTTTCAGATTTATTTTTCTCACTGAGAATAATTCTTTGGAGACTCATACAGATTGCTGTGTTTATCAAGAGTTCATTCCTTTTTTGTTGCTGAGCAGTATTCAACAATAAATGGATGTACTGCATCTGTTTAATCATTCACCCATTGAAGGACATTTGGGTTGTTTCCAGTTTGGGGTTGTTATGAATAAATCAGCTCTTGACATGTGTGTATAGGTTGTTGTATGAACACATAGGTCTTCATTTCTCTGGGATAAGTGCTGAGGAGAGCAATTGTTGGGTCTCATGGTAGTTGCAAAAATAGTTTTTTTAATTAATTTTTTTAGAGACAGGGTCTTGCTCTGTCTCTCAGGCTGAAGTGTAGTGGCATGATCATACCTCACTGCAACCTTGAACTCCTGGGCTCAAGTGGTCCTTCTGCCTCAGCCTCCCAAGTAGCTAGGACTACAAGCACGTACCACCATGCCCAGCTAATTTTTTAAAAGATTTTTGTAGAGATGAGGTCTCACTATGTTGCCCAGGCTGGTCTCAAACTCCTGGCCTCAAGTGATCCTCCTGCCTCAGCTTCCCAAAGTTCTAGGATTACAAGTGTGAGCCACTGCACCTGGCCAAACAGCAGCTAAAATTTCCGTAATGGTTACAATGTGCCGGGCATTATTACTAGAGTTTTACATATATCTACTCATGTAATCCAACGACTCTGTAATGACTGATTATTTTCTCTCATTTTACCAATGATGAAACTAAACAGAGAGCTAGGTAATGGACTTGCTCAAGGTTGCACATCTAGGCAAGTATCAGAAGACGAATTTGAAACTGATTGATTCCCTGCTCTTAAGTACTATATAATAGTGCCTATGATAATCAGGTCCCTGTAAATTGGGGGTATATTCCATTACATGTGCCCTAAATACCAGCTGGACAATAAGAGGATGTATCTGGCCATCTTTAGTGAACTTGAGCGTATTTGGGGGTGGAAATGGGGATTGGGCTGATAATTGACTAATATTTACCAAGAACTCACTATAAGCCAGGCTTTATGCTTCAAGTTCTTACTCACAGACACCCAGTCAAGACTCAAGACAGACCCCTTAGAAGGGGGTTCCATTTACCTTTGTCCAGTACATGCACTGATATGGTCTGTCACCAGAGTGGACTTGCATGTGGGTGTTCAGGCTGCAAGACTGAGACATTTCCAACATGTAGAACACTAAAGTGAAAAAGAAAATTGTAGTTGCAATCACATCTTCCGCTAACAAGTCCATTTCAACATTACATTTACTTGGGGATGAATGGAGAACTCTTCTATTTATTGTGTGTGTCTCTATAAGCAGTAGATCACCCTCCCCAGGTTGAGGCAATAACAAGACATCCAGGGACTACATTGAAGAACCAGGCAGCATGGGCTCTGGTCCACATCCTGCCTGATGCTGTCATGAATGCTAATGATGTGACTTTAGATAATTCATCAAGCATCTTTGGGTGTCACTTGCTTCAGATGTGAAATATGGAAACTGAACAGGATCATAGTATATGGCAGAGGCCTGAATTAGTCCTGACCTGTCAACAAGTAGCTGTGTGACCACAGCAAGCCAGTTAAACTTGGAATCTTTGTTTCCTAATCTTCCTTATGGGCAAATTACCTGCTATGCCTTACTCACAGGGCTGTGAGTAAATTGTAAGCACTGTGCATTAAATTGAAGTACTTATGGAGTACCTACTGTGTCCTCAACACTCTGCTAGAAATGAGGACTAAGAATCCAATGGGGGTGGTGATGGGTATGTAAGCCGAAATGGCAATACAGGATGGCAGATGATCGAGACATGTCATAGCTACATAAAAAGCTTAGTATTTTCAGAGTCCAGTGGAAGTATGTGGTACAGTCACATGCTGTGAACAATTCATGTTTCTCTGTGCCCTTCACCCTGGTGACGTGTGTCAACTCCTTCTCAGGAATTCCATACCAGGTGAAGGAAACCACTGGAGAGATATAGCCACAAGAGTTTGCCAGGGAGAAAACAGAAAGTCTTCAGTTTTGACCTCATTTATAAAGTAATTACTTTAATAAAAAAGACAATTCACTGAGAAGATATAACAATCCTAATGTGTATGTTCCTAATAAGAGAGCTTCAAAAGAGATGAAGCAAAAAAATGATACAACTGAAAGGAAAATTGTCAAATCTACAATTAAAGTTGGAGACGTCAAAACTCTTCTCTTAATAATTGATAGATAAGTTGACAGAAAATCAGCAGGATATAGAAGAACTGAACAAAACCATCAATCAACTAGATGGAACTGACATTTGTAGAACACTCCGCCCAACAAAAACAGAGTTCACGTTCTTCTCAGTGAACGTGGAGCACTCAGTAAGAGAGAGCATATCCTGGGTCACGCCATGGGAAGAAAACTTACCATATTTAAAAGAATAAAAATTATGCAAAATGTGTTCAACCAAAATGGGATACGTTTGAAATCAAAAACAGAAAGATGATTGCAAGTAAGGCTATTCATAAAATGACCTCGGTCTATTTTTCCAGCCTTTTCTTCCAAGCACCTTGCATTCCAGTCAAACCTTGCCACTCTGCAGACGCAGTGTGCTTCCCGTCCTGTCACTGCGTCGGCGGCCCCAAGACCCAGCCAGGTTTGGCGATTTGCCAGGAGCGCTCGCGGGACTGGGCCTGTCATCCCACTCACGGCCGATGTTTATCGCAGGAAAACGCCGCAAAGCAAAATCAGCAGAGAGCCAAGCGCATGGGGGAAACCGGCACGAGCTTCCAGGAGTTCTCTCCCAGGGGTGTGCGTGAGAAGGGAATTTTGGAGGGAAATAATCTTGTTTAAAAAAAAAACTTTTCCGAGAGGAGAGCTCCGGAGGCCCAGCCGCGGCGCCCCCTTCACCAGCGGCGACTCAGGCTGAGGTCCGAGCGGACAGGAGGGCGGATGTGGGAAAGAGACTTTGCCAACAGTCCTTGCAGCCGCTTTTACCCGTGGGACAAAGCAGGTGACAAAATAAAGAAGAGGCTACACTGAAATCATTAACGCGCGCAGGCTAACATGTCACGAGAAGGAGAAATCGCGACGCCTTGCGGACCCGTGTTTGAACACGTTGATAAACGCACGGGCGCGCGCTGGCGGCGGCGAGCAGCGGCCACTCGGTCGGACGCGGCGCTCTGCTGACACCTAGCGGCCGCGCGGCAGATGGCAGGCGTGGGCGCGAGAACCCGCGGTCGAGCATTTCTTGTCCGATTCCGCCGGAGAACCGACGGGCCCCAAATCGCTTTGTCTGTTTCTTGGTATGTTTCGGATCCTCTCGGGGCTGCTGGTTATTTTTCTAGGGCTGCACACGGTAGAAAAACAACAGCTGACGAAGGTCAAAATGTGCACATAAACCAAGTCGATCCGCGTCAGCGTCTTGAGTCCCTTCCTCCGCCGTCTTCACGCGCCGAAGCCCGTCTGCAGGCCCAGGGCGGCCCCGCTGCTCCGCTCCGCGGCCCCCGCGCGCCTCCCCGCGCGCCCGCAGGCCGGCATTGCCCTCCCGCCTCCCCCCGCCCGGCGGCGCCCCGGCTTCGGAGGAGAGTCTGCCGCCCACT